ATTAATTAGGAGTTGAGTCCTTATTGTAAGTACTCCTGATATTTCATTTTCCTGCAGATAGGGAACAATGTTAAAGGTGGGGCAATACAAGGTTTTTTGTTGTTTTCTCATTTATTTATTCTTCTGTGGGCATGCACTTACATGCCATGTGGAGATCAGAGGACAACCTACTAGAGTTGGAGCCTTCCTTCCACCAAGTTGGTCCTGATGGGACTCAGGTCACCAAGTTTGGCAGGGGCAGGGCACCTTTACCTACAAAGTCATCTCAGACAGCCTGGGATGGGGCAGTTTGGCTCCCTAGTATAGCAGCTATAAACTCTTCTTTACCTCCTTGGCTGCCTTGAACAAAAAGATTTTCATTCCAATAGACAACTATATCAGCACCAGCCATTATTATGAATATTCTGCAGATATCTTGGGACAAATACACAACGACTCCAGCTGATTCTGCCTAGCTTGGCTGCAGTGGCAGTGGCAGCTAGGCAATAAGGCAGGCTATGCTGGCTAGTTTTATGTCAACTTGACACAAGCTATAGTCATCTGATAGGAGGGAACCTCAATTAAGGAATGCCTTCAAAAGGCCTGGCTGTAGGTCATTTCCTTAATTAGTGATTGATGGGGAGGCCCCATCTCATTGTGGGTGGTGCCATCCCTGGGCTAGTGGCCCTGGGCTCTATAAGAAAGCAAGCTGAGCAAGCTATGAAGAGCAAGCCAGTAAGCAGCACCCCCCACCCTATGCCTCTGCATCAGCTCCTGCCTCCAGGTTCCTGCCCTGTTTGAGTTCCTGCATTGCCTTTCTTCAGTGATGGACTATAATGTGGAAGTATAAGCCAAATAAACCCTTTCCTTCCCAACTGGCTTTTGATCATGGTGTTTTATCACAGCAATAGTAACCCTTACTAAGATACAGGCTAAGTAGGAGGTAGCCTATTGCTTGGCATTGGAACTGGTATCAGTCCTGGGTATTGTGGCTGCAGAGATAACAGCCAGGCTGTTCAAAACAGTTTGCGCTAACACTCCATGCTGCCATTAAGACTAGAAGAGCTCTGGATAACCCTGCATACACCTTGGCCAGAGGGGCAGCACGCCCCCTGGTGGTCTAACAGAGAGATGTAACTGGTACCTAGAAACAAGGCTGTGGTTGGTCCAAATCCAAATCATCCATGAGTGTAACTGGTGTTGCGACAAGGCTGTGACTGTCCAGAATAAACTGTGATGGTGCAGACGTCCCCAACTACACAAGCAGACTGCTCAGGCTCACTCAGAGGGTCAGCTGAAAAGCATTCTCCTCCTTTGCTGCCTCTATTGCTGGTGCAAAGCAGGCCCAACAGGCTTTTCTTTAGAATGGGTAGTGCAAGGGGGGTGGGGGTGGGGGGGACAGAGACAGAGACAGAACAGCAACAGCAGAGGCAGGTTTTACCCCCTAAGGCAGGTACCCTGGTTGGCCCAGCAGAAGCAGCAGTGTGGAAGTTATAAAGACCAGCATTTGGAGCCAGTGGCTGAACAGTTTGAGAGTGGCCAGGGCAAGAGGGGAAGTAGTGAGAGGACAGAAAGTGGGGGCTGAGGCTGAAGGATGAAGAGCTGCAAGGAACCAGAGAAGGAAAGTTGCAAGTCCCCACCCCATGGCAGAAGAGTCCCAGGGAGCTGAAAAGTGTTTGGGACTAAGGGTCTCAGACCATAGACTAAGAGCTGTTAACACTGGCACTGCAGGGTTAGAGATATGGGAGGAGGGCTGCAAGGGACTGTGACCCAGCTTCTGCCTGCCCACTCCAGTGGCACACGGCTACTAGTCAAAGAATGCCGCAAGAGAGCAAATCATTGCTACTTCTGCACCTGACATTTTTACCCAGTTAAAAAGAATCCTTAGCCTGAAGGATGGGTGTCACTGCCACTTCCAGAAAGGTTTTGACCTTCAACAAAATAAAACCCCACTTTTTTTTTTTTTTAATACAAACAATGCTGGGGACTCTACCACTGAGCTCTACCCCAACCCCTCCCTGCAAACAAAATACCTCATAAGCCTGGGTTTTCTAATTCTTTAAAGTGTTGAGAGCCAGGGATACAAGCTAAGTGCCTAGTGCAGCCCCTGACACACAGCCAATCAACATTGCATTCCAGCCATGAATTACCAAGAACGTGTCAAGCATCCTCCCTGAGGTAGGCGCTGAAGAAACAGCACTGGAGAACACAAACAAGGTTTCCTGCCTTCCAGCACTGCACAGTGTTGTAGGCTGAGAATTGCTACACACATGAACCCTGCAACTCTCCAGCCTTCATCTTCTCCCTTCAGTCAACTACAGTTACCCTGCTAAGCCCTTCTGAAGGGTCAAGGCCTTCTGTGTATATGTTTGTCTTATTGGTTGATAAATAAAGCACTGTTGGCCAATAGGGAAGCAAAATAGGTAGGGCCAGGAGTCGAGGATACTGGGAAATGTAGTAAAGAGGACAGTCACCATGTGATCCTGGGGAAGACAGGACACATGCCGCTGGCATCCTTGATAAGTCTTTATAAAATATATAGATTAATGGTTATGGTTGATACTTAAGACAGAGCTAGCAAATAAGAAATTCCAGTCATTGGTCAGCACCATTGTAACTAACATTAATATCTGTGTGTTATTTGGGGGCCCTAACGTGGTAGCAGAACTCAGGTGGCTGGTGGAGTTATCGTTACTCCCTTCCCTGCTTATCTCTTCAGTAGTTGTTGGGGTGCAGCTCAGTAGTAGAGCATTTGTGCAGGCATGCACGAGACCCTAGATTTAATTCACACATAGAAATAATAAAAAGGAAGGAAACCACTGCCTCACTTCTGCTGTCCACTGAACCTCAGCAGTTCTGACATTAACATGCTCAGCTCCACCTGTTGGTTCATGATTGGCATAAGCCAGTTGTGGCTACCTGTTGCTTGCTTTGAAGGAGTCTCTTGGGATAGGAAGAAGTGGGCAGTGTCTGCTTGAGGACGCTTCCCTTCCTGACAGAAAACAACTGGCACCTTGCACCACACTTCCCAATTCTTCTAAGACATGACTGTGCCCAGAGTTCCAAAAGCCACTTTGCCACAAGCCAAAAATATGACAAGGTAGGGAGGCAGTGGACAAATCCTGAGCTCTGATAAGCAGGTCCACACAGAGGCGCTTCTCACTCCAAGGAATCCAATGGCCTCCTATTTTAAAGTCTGAAAAACCAACTGCAATGCTCTGACTCAAAAGTTCAAGCAGAAATGAAGGTGACACTTAAAGAGAGAAAAAAAAAAAAATACACATATGGCCAGGTTCCTGGGAGATTGTGTCCACGTCCCTGAGGATACCTTAGGGCTGGGTTCAAAACTGCTCCCAGGCACCAGCCATGTGTACTCCTTCAATCCCACAGCTTCACTAAGCTAGCTCCTCATGCCTTCTGTTTTCCTGTGTTTAGGATTTCTACCTTCTGCCTGTCCCTGGGAAACATGCCCAATTAACCAGTGGCCTTTCACATGAAAAACTGGGAGCCTTCTGAGTGGGGTGAAGCAATCTCAAGTTCAGAATCAGGGTAAAAAGGAAATTCTGGGAGTTAACCCTATTCCAAAAGCTGGGGGGAGTCCTCTCTTTGAGGAGTGCTTCCATTAGCAACTTAATAGCAGAAAATGACTTCCATTAAAGTGAATAGCTTCTTCAGCCCTCAACTGTAAATTCCTCATGTTCTGGCCATAAATAAGATGTTAAGTTGCTTAAAATTCAGTTAACTTGTAGTTCAAATTAAATCAAGTACTTAGGAGCTACTATATAAATTAGTAAATTTGCACTTTGGGAATAAAGTACTACTTAAAATTTGCATTTAAAACAATTTTATGTATAATTTAAATTGTATATAGCTCACATTTATGCTTCTAAACCAACAGAAGCTCACATATGTTTTATGGTGACAGTTTACCAACTAGTTACATATACATTGCTTTTGTTGTCTAACAAGACACGTGAGAAAAAAATCCCAGACAGAAGCGGAGACATTTATTCAGTACATTAATAATACATAATGAAGCCCTGAGACTTTAGACCTGCAAAGTGTTTTAAGAATGCAAGTACTGCTGGGTGGCAGTGGCAGTAGCAGCCATGTCAGCACACGCCTTTAATCCCAGCACTCGGGAGGCAGAGGCAGGCGGAACTCTGTGAGGTCAAGGCCAGCCTGGTCTACAGATCGAGTTCCAGGACAGGCTCCAAAGCTATAAGAGAAATCCTGTCTAGAAAAAAATTTTAAAAAAGAATGCAAGTACTATGTACATATATTTCAGTTTTTACTACTGTTTTCTAGTTTTCAGTTTCTTAACAAAAACACCTATGAAAAAACACTTCCCCCTCAAAGTAGACTAAAGGTGGGAAGTAGTCATTTACTAAGCATGTGAGGAAGACCCACACCTGTTCTGAAGGACCTACTGTTACCTATTCAGGAAACCAGCACCGAAATTTTCATACTTTTGATTTCTATTTTAGAGAAAATAAGCAGAGCATTCCTGCTGCCTCAAGTGTGTGTGTGTGTGTGTGTGTGTGTGTGTGTGTGTGTGTGTGTACATGTCTGCATGTGGGAGGGCACAAAGAAACACTATTCAAATAAAGAATTACAGGGCTAAATTCTCCCACCCTGGTCCTCTGGGTACTTGTCAAGTCATCTTCTTTGTCACTTTTAGTCATAACTGACTTCTCGGCACCCACCCCCACATGGACCATACCACTAGGGGGAAGTTCCACAGGCAACCTTTCATTTGAAATGATTTCCATGACTGTATCTCTTTCAGAATTTCCTGCATTTGTTTCTGAATCTTAAAGACATTTCTTTTTTGCAGATGGGGAGCTACAGTTTATACTTATTGCCAAAAAAAGGAGAGACAATTCCAGTGTCAACTTCCCAGTGAACAGTTGTGGGTGAGGGGAATGATAGTGGTAAATAAGACGCCTGTCCCCAAAGGCCATTGGTCTGCCAATGCAAAGGGGAAAATTCTGGTTGGTTGCAAATACAAAGGAGACAAATATGTTTAAATCATTTATTCAAGAAATTAAGTCTTTTAAAATGTTTTTATTGCATTTGAAGACATTTCCAGGAAATGCTTGTGTTTGAAGCCTTGGCTCCGTAATCCACACTAGCTGTCACATTTCTCTGGCACAATCCCATTGCCTGCAATGGTGTTTATCAAAACTAAAAATGCTAGCACACTGAATATGCCAATATGTACCCAGTTATCTATATCAAATATTTCATCAGCTAGGAAAACACCAAAGGCAAATGCTGAATATATAGTACAAATCAACATTCTTCACAGAAGAAAACAGTTTGAGACTAATTTTCTATAACATGTCACCTGGTCATCAGTTCCTCAATTTACTGCAGTTATTTCAAGGATAATAAAATTATGCTCCACTACTCACCGTTTCTCAACTTAAAAAAAAAAAAAAAACAAAAAAACAAAAAAAAAAACTATGTTCTAAAATGTATACACATAGAATTACTTTATAAGTTTTGACATGTCTTGTCTGTGTATCTTCTTACAGTGAATACGTGGAAACAGGACATATGTACACTCAAGTCATTAGTGGTTATCTGAATTTTGCTTCCATGGCTAGTTGCCCCTTACAGGTGTGGTAAATGACAGGATAAAAGTCTGACAAGCTCTGCCTGTGCTCTGTGAACTTTAGTCCACTTCCTGCATGAGTCCATCCAGTTCCTATTCCTCAGTTAAAACCGCTCTCTAAGAGCTGTTCAGCACATGCCCTCACACATGTGTGGACCACGAGGGCCATCTCAAGAGTTCCCTTCTGGTACTGACTTTTTAGGGACCCAAGTTTCTACAATAAGAGTTTTCAAACTTTTTTTTCTCATTTCAAAGCCCCAATCTTCCCCATGACAGACCTTCACTCTGCAGTTCCCTTCACCCATGGCATGGCCCCTGGCGAATCTTTCAGAGGCTTAGTTTCTGTGAAGTTTTCTGCAAACCTCTCTCGTGCTTTGTCCCAATTTGTTTTGCTCTTATTTTGCAGAAAGTGAAGATCATCAACTGAGGATGGTTTCCCTGTCCCCAAGCCCGCATGTGTCCGTCGAAGCTGAAGCTGGATCTGTTATGAAAGTTAAACAGAGGACCTGTTTTAGAACCTAAACACACCAAAACCTGCTGTGTGCCACACTGGGTAGAGACGTCTGCCTATAATTATTTGACTTATTAAAGGTTCATGCAAAGAACACATGTCAAATGTATAAATACACACAGGAACACATGCACTATTTCCCATGAAGTTAAAGCCCATTTTGTTTTCATTGTCTTACCAGACCTAAGTACAGCCAACTCCATTAAAAAAATGTTCCTTAAACAGCCGTAACCAAACGTTTGTCCTTTTCAATTATGATAAATATACTTATCTACAAAGTTTATGCTCTGAATAGCCACCCAAAAAATGAACAACAAAAGAGCCCCATTACATTTTATGTAAGTTTATGTTTTGTTTAGGCTGCAGTCCACAGACACAGGAGGGACACACCTGAATGGTAGAGAGGATATTATTCCATTGTAACCAAAAGTAAAGGTCATGGACATGTTTAACCCTGCCCTAGCCTCACTCAAGCAAATGTACAGGAGGACTAAGCATTAAAATGGCAAGAGGAGGCCTGAGAGTCACTGGACAGTGCAGTGTCTGCCAGGCATGTACAAAGCCCTGGGCTCAGTGTCCATGCTGTGCACACAGAACTATGAAGAGAACCTACTGTTCTTTACTCTCCCATCTGGTGATGGGGGCCTCTCATTATGTTAGGAAGCTACCAGAGACTGGTGATGTAAGTAAAGCTTAGGGCTTTATCTCCAGGACACCCTTGATAATGGTTCTTATCATCGCCACCTCACACAGCACTGTAACTTCAAACATGCCCAAAGCCTCAGTGACAAGGCTCATACATACTCAGGGTCTAATTATTAAACCAAACTTTCCATCATGCTCCAATGAAAAGGAGAAAACTGGCCCATTTTCACACTGGTGGTCCATCTGTTCTGACACATATCAAGTACTTCAAAAGTTCTACCGTCAAAAGTTACTTGAGAGACAGAGAGTGTGTTGTGTGTGTTACCTCCTATCAATTATGGGACTACAGAATTTAACTGATGCGCTGTTATCTAGACATTACTCTGTATTATACATACAGACCTCTGGGGCTCTGGAGCATAATAGATTCTTCAGCTAATGCAGAATCTGCCTACATGTAAACTAACACCAGCTGTTCCTGCAATGTTCAACCCCAGACTAGTAAGAATGTCATTTAAATTTTTTAAAAGGACTGAGTGCTTGCCTAACATGTTCAAGGCCCTGGGTTTAATGCCCAACATGGTAAAGCAAAGAACCCCAAAACCCACACAACTAAAAAGCACAAGAAAATCTTTGATTCAGGAAATAACACTTCAACAGTTTTTTTTTTTTTTTTTTTTTAAGAAAAAAATTCTAAACAAGACTTTTCCAAAGCACAAAATAGCAAACAAAACCCACATGTGTTAAATGATAACACAATAAAGGTCATAACCATGTCTGTTTTGGGTTATTACTATAGGCCTCAGCACTTGGCAATGTCTGGCTCATTACTGCACAAAGGCAATGTTTAGTCAAAGAATTTATGAATGAAAGAAAACACAAGTCTTACCGGAGTTTTCATTCCTCCACCATCCTTTCCCAGGCCCTCTCCTTTTCTCCAACCCATCTTCTCCAACATCTTCCGGCCTTTGTTGCTATCTGTAATTTCACTGTAGGGAAAGTTAAAATGATAACTGATTTACAAAGACTTTTAATGCCATATGTACAATAAACTCATACATTAAAAGTAACCAGTACAGTTACTTTAAGAAACTGACAATACCTCATCAAATGGAGGACATAAATTCTACTCTATAGATACTAACTAACGGAAATGCACCTAATGACATATGTACAAGCAAACAAACCTAATAGCATCAAGTCATAAGCAATTCAGATGTCCACACAGAGAGACAGACTGTGGACATTCATAAAGTTAAGTTCTATGGCAATGAAAATAAATTGTATCAAACAAATCCACAAAGAACAAAAGAATACAGATATATCATATGAATACTTGGTATTGCTCCATTCATTTAAAATTTTAAGATCAATGGAAGCTACTACTGTCAGGACAAAAGAAAAGCAGGGCAGTGATTAGCACAGGTCAAAGGTTACTGACACTTTTGTACTTCTTGTCCATGAAACATGCACTGTAAATGGGATGATCTTCCACAGTATCCACAAGGTTGAACAAACAGTCAGCACAGAACAGTATGAATTTCTATATACATGAATGTACCGATAAAGGGGAAACAGAACCTTTTGTTCACTACTTGCATTCTGTGTGATGGATTTTCTAATGTGAGATGTTTGATTTTGTGTTTTATTACTTTCTCGCTGTGTGGGAGCTACATTAGCTTCTTTTATAATACACCAAGTGAAGCAGACCAAGGTGCTTCATTCTTTATTTCTAATTTAAATCTGATGTTCTCTCCGGCATAAGAAATGCTCTATTTTTAAAAGTTGCCCTGCTGCCTCCTGCATCCAGCTTGTAACACTACATTCCATCAACTGACTCCATGCACAGTAGGACATCCTATTCTACGTACTGTAAAGGAAAAGTTAATTATAAAATTAAACCTGGCACAGGTGGTACAGTTTGAGAAGAAGGGAGAAAAATCATAATTTTACAATTCTCATTTCTGCATGGAAGATTCAATCTAACTCAAGCTAGGATGAAAAATAATGTAGCTAATTTAATTCAAAGTGTGGTCATATTATAGGCCTCAAAATCACATATTTTCATGTTGCTTAACAAATCCACTTTACCATGAGAAAAGAACTACTACATAAAAAAACTCAAGAAGTGTCTTAGAGGTGCCAGTCAACACTCACGAGTGAACAGATGCAGGGGCATCATCTCTTTGGAAAGTCCCTTCGCTTCCAACCTGCTCCCTGCGTTTTCCAGCTCTGTCTTTATATTTTGGATTCTTCAACGCTTTTTCATCTTCATAGTCTGTATTCTTAGCAATCACAAACCATTGATTGAGAAAAAAGAAAGCAAATAAAAATACAACTTAGTAAATATGGCTCAATGGGGCTTCTGTAGACATGAATGAAAACAAGTTGCTATATAAGCCACCCGCTATTAGACAAGCTATCTTCACTCCATGCTGTTCAAGTTGTATCACAAAATAAACAAAAAGACAAGGAGACAACATGCTGAAAATTCAGTGCATTTTTCACTTATTGTTGTGGACTAGTGTTCAGTAGTGGCTCAACAGGTAAAGGCAGTTGCCGAGCAGGCCTGGCAACTTGAGCCCCATAGCTCACATAAAAATGGAAGGAGAGCACCAACTTCACAGAGCTCTCCTCTGACCTCCACAAGGCACTGTGACATGCATGCCCACATACATACCAAGTATGCACACATAATAAGACTTGAGCCCCCATAATATGGCAGGCTCATGATAAAGGTGCACCCAGGTGTGGCAGTGGTACCCAGGTTATATCCATTATAAGACTACAGCATGGTTTATTTATCCATATTTAAAAGACAGTTGAATCTCTCAGTTTAACACAAGTACAAACATTTGCTTATCAGTCTTTATAGAAAACTATGTTTGCCCTTCTCTTGGGCAAATACCATAAATTAAAATGATAAGACATACCTCCAGTCCCTTTTAACTTTTAAAAAGTTACCACATTGTTTTCCCAGAGGAACTGCACCACTAACATTCCTACCAGCCATGTATAGGAATCCTTATAACCCTGTGAGTGATCTGTACAATCAGTTTAAACTTTCACACCATTCTATGGATGCTCACTGGTATCTCACTCACCATAGCAATTGCTCACATTCCTACATTCCTTTCCTACATTCCTTTTGTGTGTGTGTGTCTTTACTTTCCAACTGGATCTTCTTTGGGAAGTGTCTGCTAAAATCTAGTACCTTTTTTCCTTTTAAATACGGGGTAGTTGTTTGGATGATCAATGCCCCCCATAAGCTCATGTATTTAACACCTGGTCCCCAGTTGGTGGTACTGTTTGGGAGGTTATGGAACCTTTAGCAAGCAGAGCCTTGCTGGAGGAAGTAGTCCCTGGGAAGGGCTTTGAGTTTACAACTTTGTTCCATTTCCTGCTCTCCCTCTCTGCATCCCTTGTGATCAGGTTCTTGGTCCTGCCACCATGCATGCCTTTCCCAACATTAATGGTCTCCATCTCTCTGGAATTTTAAGCTAAAATAAATCTTTTCTTAAGTTGCTTTTGGTCCTAGTATTTTATCACAACAACAGAAAGGTAATTAATATACAGGGTAGCACAAGGCTGGCCCTGAATGAGTTCAAGCCATCCTCTTCATAAAAATCTCCAAGTAAACAGGGCTGAGTATGGGCTGTGGCCTAAGGCAGCCTGCTTTTAAATTACGTTGTTCTCTCATTTTACAGTATTGTGTAAATTCTAGATTGAAGTTTCTCATCAGTATGTGACTGCAAGTGTTTCCTGGTCTATGATTTAATCTTCATATTCTCCAAAGTATAACTCATCAACTTATTCCTATCTTTGTGATTTTGGTGTTAAATACCTCAGAATCTTTGCTTAAACTTGAGTGTGAATGTGCAGGTGGAGTCAGAGGGAAGAGACTATCAGCTGTCCTCCTCAATGGTCCTCCACCTTAGTGCTGGAGAGGGGCTAACTGGCCAGCCAGAAAGCTCCAGGGATCCTCCCCACCTCTCCAGTGTGGTTACAACATGCACTGCCACACTGGCTTTTAGAAGGGTGCTGGAGATCTCAACTCAGGCCCACATACTTTCCTGGCACGTATTTTACCAAAAGCTAATCTTATTTTCTCATTAATTAATTTATTTTGGAAACAAGATCTTACTGTGTAACTTTGACTGGCCTAGAATTGACTATGTAAAGAAGGCTGACCTGGAACTCATAGATATCAGCCTGCCTCTGCCTCCTGAGTGCTGGGATTAAGGAGTGTGCCATCATGCCCAGCAACCTAATCTTTTCTTTCTTTCATTTTTTTTTCATTTTTTATTTAAATTAGAAACAAGATTATTTTACATGTCAATCCCAGTTCCCTCTCCCTCCCCTCCTCCCCTGCCCCCGACTAACACCCTACCTATCCTATACCCTTATCTTTTCTTTTTAAGAAAGATTTCCTGGGCTTAGGGAGATAGCTCAGTGCTAGAACCCTTGCTACCATGCTATAGGTCCTGAAACCAGTAACTAGTACTGATGGAGGCAAATTCCTAAAAGCTTTAAGTTTTTTTGTTTCATATTTTAAAGATTTTGTTACATTTACATTAGTCAGTCATTTGTGTGTATCCATGTGTGCACGCATGTGCCAATTCACCTCCCATGGAGGTCAAAGGACAGTTTGTGAGTATCAGTCCTTTCCTTCTCCCATGTAGGTCCCCAGGAACCAAATTTAGGACCTCAGGCCTGACAGCAAGTAGCTCTAGACCCAGGGAACTATCTTACAAACACATGTTTTACATTTCTAAGTTTACATTAATAACACATTTTTAGGTCATATTTTACAAGGCATATAACATGAACCAACACTCTTTTTGTTCTCATCCTTCACTCTTTGGTTTCTGTTCCTTGCAATATGGCCATCCAACCAACCATTCTAGTACCATTTGTTGGAGGGAAGAGGAACAGGCATCCTTTCTCTATCACACTACATTTCCACTGTTTTAAAATCAAGCTTTCCATATATGAACACACGGCTCTACTTCTGGACTCACTTGTGGTCCATACAGATATGTATGCATCAACACCTGCAGCATCGTCTTCCCCCTTCAGTATTTTAATCTTTTTTTTTTTTTTTTTTTTTTTTTTAATAAAAAATCCTACTACATTTTCAATTCCAACTTCACCAGCTAAATTTTAAATATCAGAACTACGGAAATTACATAAGCAGTCATGGTAAATAGTAAATGGTAAATAGTACTTAATCATATATAAGGTGCTTAGTATATACTGAACAAATGAAACAACATTCAACATCTTTACCTGCAAACCATACTTTACTCGTATTTTCTTTAGTGCTTTTCTTCTTTCCAACTCTTTTTCCTCCTTACTTAATGCTGGGCCAACTAAAAGGAAAAACTGAGTTTGAATATGACAGACTTTATAGAAAATTATACTTACAAAGAAAATAACAGTTTATCTCACTTAGTATATTTTCCAGTTCAAACCATTTTTCCTGCAAATTTCATAATTTAATTTTCATTATAGCAGAATAAAGTTGCACTGTGTATATCACATAATTATTATCCATTCATCGGCAAGTGGAAAATACATTGAGACAACTAATCCAGGACCAGGAAAAGACAAAATGTTAACTATGCACTCTGCTATGTGAAAAATTTTAGTATGTCTAGCTAAGCTGGCGTGTCTGCAGGACCAGGAAGGCAGAAAGGGCCCATGAGACAGGGCCGGACAAAGTGGAGCACATGTGATATGAAAGAAAGGTTAAACATTTTAGTGGGAATGGGAGAAGAGGAAGGAGTTGAGATGTGGTTTAGCCAGAACTAAGGATGTATGAAAACGCCTTCTGGAAACCTACTATTTTGAAAGCCAATTTAAAAATAAAATTTAAGTAGAGGTACCCTGCATATATGGACAAATTCCAAACAATTCACTTCATAGCCTTGCAGCACCACTCACTGAAGTGCACCTTGTCTACAATACCCACCACTACACAGAGGCTGGCGTGTTCACCTACCTGAGCCCACATGCAGTGATACGAAAGGTGGGAGGTTGGGCCCAGTGGTAGAGGGACCAGGCTACAGGGCACTTTAAACACTTAGTGAACTGAAGTGCTCTAAACAGTATCATCACACCCACACTTAGTGTGTTGCACGTACCAAAAGGTTCACCTTTCTTATCAAGGCGAAGATGAGCTCTGACCTGCCCTGGTTCACAGCCATCACAGGTCTCACTGCCAGGGTGAATGTGAAAAGACAACACAGTCTCCCCAATTTTCACTTCATCGCCGTGTTCAAGGACGTAAGGGTCACTCTTAGTTTTGGGCTAGATGAGAAATTTTCAATGAAACAGAAATACAAAGTAGTCATGTGGTTACATTATGTCTATGGTAAGAGATAACTGATGATAATTTAAAACTCAGAAAAGGAGACACTTGCACACTTCTACAATTTGGTGGATGGACTGTGAAAAACACTACTAGGACCATGACAGTAACTCAGTGGTAGAATATGGTACTTACCCTGAACCAAACTCTGAGCTCAATCCCACAGTCCCTTATAGTATTTCCCCAAAGCTACTTATAATTTTGATCTTATATTAAAATCCACCAATATTATTACCCACCAGTTCACTCTGAACTTTAATCTAATTAGCAAAACACAGAGGAAAGTTATATGTTAAGAGGCAACCACCTCTTTTTCCTTAAAACAAAATCTGCCTGGTGTGTGTGCGTGTGTGTATAGGGGGTTAAGATTGCTCAGAGCTGGAGTTCAGGTATTGATGGGTGTGTACCTTGTTACATGGGCACTAGGATCACAACTCTGGTCCTCATGATTACATAGTAAGTATTCTTAACCACTAAGCCACCTCCCATTTTTTCTTGTAATTTAACTTCCTTCTTTCGTTCTTAATGCACAAGGACAGGGCCTCCTTGATGGTTTAAATGATTGACTTGACAGGATCTAGAACTGCTTATATATAGCCTTTGAGCATGCCTGTCAGGACCCACTTGAACTTTGGGCAGCACCATGCCATTGGCTGGGGTCCTAGACTGAGCTCAGAGATCACTTTCTCTCTGCTTCCTGAAGTCTGACAGAACACAATCTCCTGCTTCACAGCCCTGCCTTCCTCACCATGATGGGTGGTTCTCTTCCTTCCCAGAGTTGCTTTGTCAGAGTATTTGGTTTTCAGCAAATTCCCAGTTTAACATTATTTTTATTAAGACAAAAAAAGGACACGAAAGGCAGGTTAGAGATGCCTAATGGTCCATCGGAGGGAGAGTATCTGCTTGAAATGCAGGAGGAACCTGAGCTAATAAATTCATAGCAGCACACAGGAAAAGAGGGCCACCAAAGTCACTGCTATGAATATTCAGTCTTGGGCCAGTGAGATGGCTCAGAAGGGAGAAATGACTCCACAAGGTTGGCCTATGACCTCCACATGCATGCTCACATGCACACACATTTTAAAAAGAATAGTTAATCTAAATAAGCTTCATGGTACATTCATACCTAAAAGAAGCAACAGAGACATAATTAGAGGCTAAAACTCAACAGACCAGTATCTACTAAATATTTTTTCTAGCCCTTTCTGGAAATTTCCAACCAAGTTACACATTTGGGTTTGAACTCTGATCTGAACCAAATGCTATCTATTAAGGACCAGAACCTGTGCTCTGACAAGGAAGTGAAGATGATCACTACACATCCACTCACCTGAAGAATCTGCTTCCCATTGACAACGGTACCATTCTGGCTGCCCTGATCCACAAGGACGTAGCTTTGCAAGTCATGGTCAAAATAAATTTCTGCATGAAACTTCAAGAAAAACAACCAAGCAATTACAAAGTACTCCACATTTCCAACCTGGAGCTAACTTCACCACCATGTAACGCTGTGGGTATGAGTCTCTGATCATTTTACTTGTATTTCTCTTAATGCTTTTTTCTGAATACAAATTATTATGAGTCTCTGGTAGAAATATAGAGGCTATACTTCTGCCTTTAATTATGATGAAAAATTTGTATATATCCTGCTGCTTCTACTTTTAAAATGTACATACAATTTGAACTTTTTCCCCTAACATAAGTACTATCAATGTCTATTTAAAATCATTATAATTCTCAATTCAAACTGACTTGAAACACTCAAGAACTTCGCAAGGAGGCAAGTTCTCCAGATCTTCAGGACACAGGACTGAGCCTCCCTTACAGCAGAGCACTTTACTCATCTGTTCTGCAGCCCTGCTCCGTAGGCTTAGTGTTATGCCGTGCAGTTTGTCCAGGTGGTAGGTACAACTGTACCCTGTCCACTCTGTTATACAGATTATCCCACAGTCAATGCTTCTAAAACTGGCTATCAAGGCTTTCTAGAGTGTTACACTATCTTTAAAAAATAATGCTGTGCTCAAACTGGAGAGGTGACTCAGTGGTTAAATGCAAGGACTGCTTTTCCAGAGGACCAGAGTTTGATTCCCAGCCCCCACATGGAAGTTCATCCATACTGAGGCTTACACCATCTGTAATTCCAGTTCCAGAAAATTCATCACCTTCTTCTGGCATCTGTGTGTACCAGGTACCCAAGTGATACACCATTGTGGAATATTTGTACACTGTGTGAAGATATATTGCTGTGATTGGTTTATTAAAGAGCTGAAAGGCCAATAACAAGGCAGGAGGTATAGGCAGGACTTCTGGGCAAGGAGAGGAAGGAGGAGGAGATAATGGAGGCACAGAGGAGATGCCAACGAGACATGGAGGGAGTTGGATATACACAGTGAAAGAAAGATAAAAAGCCACATGGTAAAACATAGATTAATAAAAACAGGTTGATTTAAGTGAGCTAGTAAGAAACGCCTTAGCTTTGGCCAAGCTTTCATAATTGATAGTGAGTCTCCTAGTCATAATTTGTGAGCTGGTGCCCCCTCCCCAAAAAAATCCGATTACAGTATACAGACATACATTCAAGTAAAACACATACTTGTTTACAACTAAAAAACCTCCTACAAGTTTTCTCGTATGTATAACATCTGCACACAATCCAGCTATTTCTCTAAGATACTTAAGAGACGGGGCTGTCAAATTTATTTATTTTGTGTGTATTGTGTAATGGGGTAAACACACACACACACACACAGCTTTCTCCCTCTTAGGGCTGTAATGGAGAGGAAAGGTCTTACCTTGCTGACACCAACTTCAGGGATTCGGAGAGTATGTTCCATATCCTTTTCTCTGCATGGGTAAGAGTGACATTAGTGATTTTGGGAACATGTAGAAACAGCAGTGACAATGACAGGGCCAAAGTCTGTTTTTACTAGATGTTCAAATGGAAGTCTGGCACAGCATTATCCACCTGTGGATTGCCCTTACAGACACACTAGAATTTGCATGCTTCCCCCACAGTATTTGTTTACATCATTTTTCTTGTTTAACTCTGCTGTTTTAAGATGAAGAGGTTGCCTTAGTCTTTTCTATTCCCAGAGCACATACACCAAAGCTTGAAACACAATACTACTCACCCACCTTTTTGAAATACAGTATGAAGCATCCTTACCTTCCAATTGTGGCTGGGTTTACAGCTGTGATGATGAAAAGCGAGCCCGTCTGCAACACTGGAGATCTAACAACAATCACCCGAATACAGGGGGGCCAAATCTTTTCTTCCTCTACTAAGTAAGAGGTGGGGAAACATTAATTTAAGTGCTATGAAAATTAATTTTTCATCAAGTGGTGGTGGCGCACACCTTTAATCCCAGCACTCAGAAAGCAGAGACAGGTGGATCTCTTGTGAGTTCGAGGTTGGCCTGGTCTACAGAGTTAGTTCCAGGACAGCCATGGCAGTTACACAGAGAAACTGTATCTCAAAACAAAACAAAACAAAACAAAAAAAAAAAAAGGAGAGAAAATTATTTTTTCCACACAGATGACTAAAAAATACTGCCCAGCATGTGTCAGATCCTGGGTTCAATTCCCAGTATAGCAACAAACAAAAAAATTTCTTAAGTTCTAACATTTTTATATATATATATATATATATATATATATATATATATATATATACACACACACACACACACATACATATACATATATATACACACACATATATATATATTGACATGTAAGACTTATTATCATGACTATTATTACAGAACAAATTTAATTCATTGACTATATATAAAATACTGTGTTTTGCATCTCCATATCAAGTAAAAATGTTAGAATGACATAATACTTATGTGTGACTTCATGAGCTATGCTTTTAAAGGCAATTTACTTTTTCCTGTTCAATTGCAAAAGCAGACCACAAAAAGCACAGCCTTAACATATATTAGAATTAAGAGGGTTTGGTTTTATGTGCAATGGAAGGTTTTCAATACAATGCAGCTTTCTGAAGTTAATGTAGTGGTCATTTGGCGATGACTTGCCTTCTAAAAACTGACTATGGATCATTCTCCTAATCTTCAGTGTCATCAGATAACTGGTGTGCCCTGTCTGCTGCTGCATTCAGCACACTCTCAGCAGTCTTGCTCTCTTAAGACCCAGTGTATTATTCACTTACATACCTTCATCCTCCGATTCTTCCGAGGATCCCTTGTTCTCACTGGTACTGTCTTCATCATAACTATTTTCGCTCTGAGAGTCTGTAATTTCACCTTCCTCTGGCTCACTCTCACTCTCTCTAATTTTCTCATCCTTCGATGAAGCTGAGTTATCATCACCAGGAGATGCTGCAGTGCCCCCACTAACTGGAACAGTGAGCGTTAAGGGACTACTTCTGTAGGCAGTGTCTATTCTGGCCTTCTTTTTCATATTTGCAGAATTTTCTTCTTCACTGCAGTTTATATATTCAATGCTGCAGATGTTCTGATCTTCTGAACTCAAATCCTAGACAGAGGCAGGCAGGAAACTAAGTGACAACATCACCATCTTACAGCACTATATGAAATTCCATTGATTCAGGGAGGATACAGGTATCAAGCAAATGGGAATCTGTGCCTGCTGACGGTCCTGCTTCATGACACCATCACTCTAAGAAGGTTATATTTATTGCAGATTCCCAGTACAGCATCACATGGGACCAATATACAAGGGCTAGACACTCCACAGCCTTCCATCTATTCTCAAGGCCCAAATATTTCCAACCAAGGCCCCCATCACCTATTATGTGGCTTGTGTAATAGCATGTAAGAAAGCTGTATAATAACAACTTTAATGTAACTCCTATTTATACTTTAAAATTTTCTAGTAGTCACATTTAAAAACATTAAAAATGTATATTCACTTCTGTAGTAAGACTTCAAAATCTTGTACATACAGACTATCCTCCTATATAGATAGGACCTTCACTTCAGTGCAAAGCCACATATAGCTAGTGGTTACCTTACTGAATACTATGAAACTCTGAGAATGTACCAATCCTAAATTTTTATTTTAGTTTTTAAATAAGATAATGTACATAAAACAGAAATATTTTTAAAAATAACAGGAATTTAAATAATCAATGTTATCAAAACTGAGGTTTTGCCAAAACTGAACATTTTATTTTGGCGTTAACTGCATTGAAACTACACAAAAGTTTAAAATACAAATGAGTATTCATATGCCTTTGATTCTAAAAGTTCAACCTGTCTACCATAAACCTTTTATTATTAATTTTTGGCATGCCTTATGAAAAATGAACAAATTACTTTTAATTAACAAATTAAATTATTTTTATTAAACTATGTTTAGAATGAATGACTAAATCAAGCCAATGAACATGTGCATTACATGCTTTTGTGGTCATAACAAAAAGTTTCTCATAGTAACTTTCAAAGAATATAATACATGTGCCAGAATACAGCTCAGCAGTGAGATGTGTGTGTAATACGCATAGTATCCTGGGTTTAATTCCAGTACACATGACAAATAATACAGGTACCAATAACAGGCGCTGTTCTGTATAACAGACAACATACATTATTTAAACTGAGAAGCAGCACAGAGTAATTACTCTCTTTTCCTTTTTGGTATGCCATGTTGCATATAACAAAGTGAGTTCAGATGCAATTTTATAAAATATGACAGCATATTTTTAATAGCAGCATAAATAGAGTTTGGAGACAGGCTGAACATTCGGTGTGATAAACTATATATACTCTCAGCACTACAAACTCACCAAGGGCAAAAGCAAGGACAAGGAGCTAAAAAGCTATTAGGAGCTTTACAGGTCATGTGGTCAAAAATATCTCCTTAGCTATATATACACTTTTTAAAAAGCATGTTCCAATCTTCCATTCATTACCACATCATCATCATCATTATTATTACTATCATTACTTCTTAGAAAACTTAAGAGAAAATAAATGAAGCTGTTGGAGATGCTTTTGATAAGGGATATCCTGGTTTAGACTCTTAGATCAACATCCATAAGAAACAAGAAAGGGCACTTATATGTGGACAATGAAGCGTGTGTGTGTGTGTGTGTGTGTGTGTGTGTGTGTGTGTGTGTGTGTGTGTGTGTCTGTGTCTGTGTGTGTGTCTGTGTGTACATATATAAAAATATTTTTCTCAATATCTAGCCCTGTTGCCTTCTTTTCACAAGTCCTCATCTACAAAAAAGTGAAGCTCAAGGGCATCTTAGAAAGGAAGGACATTAATTGGGAGCTTCTCAGCTGTCTCTCACACTCTTCTTTCTGCTAGGAAGAAGGATTTTATAGAACCCAGCCCTTCAAAGTTTAGAACAAGTCACAAAAAATGGATATCCCAAAGTGCTTCTTAGTAGTTCACTAACATATTTTTCTATTCCAAAGGAAAAAAAAAAACACATCGAGAACAGAAAAATAAGGCCAACAGAATCTTAATTCCAAGGGTTGATAGTAGAATTTATTATTTTAAGTAAATTTCTTTGGGCTAAGAAAAAATATGAGATAAAATTTCCAAAGTACACAATTCAAACAATGCGAGTGAGGCTAAGACACTCCTCCTTACACATCACCAACCTCAGTCATTTAGGGAGTAGAAATGAGAGAAGAGCATTCTAATTACCATGTATCCTAAGTGATTTTAAAATTCTTTTCAGTCTTTATATAAATTTCTTTTCCTTTACATGTTCTTTGGTTTTGTCTTTTCAATACAGGGTTTCTCTGTGTAGCCCTAGCTATCCTGGAACACACTCTGTAGACCAGGATGGCCTCGAACTCACAGAGATCTGCCACCTTTTGCCTCTTGAGTACAGGGTTAAACACATGCACCACCACTGCCAGCTACGTCATCATGTTCTTAATTAACCAAAGTCACACCACATTAGACTTAATTTTTTTTCTGCATTTGACATGATTTCTGCAATGCCAGGGATCAAGCCCAGGACCTTGCACATGACACATAAGTGCTTCTATACTAAGGTACATCCCAGCCCCCCTCCCTTCTTATACATATAGCTTCGGTAATTACACAAAGAAATTGTCTTTTTTAAATTTTTTTGAAATATAAATTACTAGAAATATGTTCTCTACCTAATGAAATAAAACATCTTTATGATTACTGATGAAATCAACCTCTTTCCAAAAACAAAACTAAATTTAAAAAACAGGATAGATAGTTCAGCAGTTATGAGTGCTCGCAGTGGATCCAAGTGTCCTTCCCAGCACCCACATCCACTCATAACCAACTATAACTCTGGATCCAAAGGATCTGCTCCTTCTTCGGGCCTCTACATATTCAGGCATGCCCGTGTACACACACACACACACACACACACACACACACACACACACAGTATATTTAAATACAAAAACATTAAATCCTTTAAAATAAAACAAAAAACTCTTTCAAACCTAATATGTACCTCACTCCATATTTACCAGTAATGCATTTTAAGTTTGCAATTTAATAGGTGAGAAATTACTTAACAATATTAAGTCTGTATATGCCAATACACAAACTGTTTTTCTTTTGTGAACTGTACAATAAGCAACTTATTGAATCAGTTTTTGGATGTTCTTCTAAGCTAAACAATATAAAAAAATTTATGTATCTTCAATCTACCTTCTTCAAACTTTAAAAACACCTACTTCTAGTCACTGAGTTGGCAAAAAAAAAAAAAAAAAACTTGTTTCATTTAAACCTCCCTTGGCTTTTAGACTCTCATACCTTAATGGATATATTTAAAATGCAAAAGATGCAGAATGATGTTTACATTCATAAATTTTTGGCTTACCTAATGGTACTAAAATACTGTAAAATTTAAAATTTAAGAAAGCATTACCTTTTCGTCGTTTGCTGTACAAAAACCTGGTTCTTTTCTTCTCTTCTTCAGCTTTTTATCTTTGCTTGGTTTTATGCTAGAGGTCTGGTAAGGCTGTAAATCTACTCGAGAATGAAATTGGTATCGACCACTTTCCACATCACAGTAGTAATAAATCCCAGTGGAAGGATCATAGTATAGTTGGTTTTCCTTTCAAAGTCAAGAAAACAAACATTTTACTCATGTTTAATGAAACCAAATAGAAAAATGAACAAAAATGTCAAATATATTCCAATATAGTGAGTGTTTTAGCAACTAGACTATTTTCAGCAGATAATGAATTAGGAAAAAAATGCTTTTAAATTTTCAAAAGTATTTTATCAGTTAATGTCTGCTGTTTTCCCTGGTGGGAAAATAATTAACCTTAATTGCATCAAATGAAACCGCCATTGTTTATAGTGTTTTAGTTTATAAGAAATAGCAATTTCATATGGTTCAACTGAACACATTAACAAAAAAATGAAAGAAATTGTTTTGAAGGCATGAAAACTAAGGCATAGATCAGAAAGCTGAAAGTGAAACCATCCTAATACCAAACACACAAACTTCACCTGAATGCTACAAAAAAAATCTTGACTCTCAACATTTAATAATAAAACTAAAGAACCTGGGGGTGGGGAGGGCTAAAGTGTAAGAAACTGGTAAATATCTATCTTCATTAATTTTCTATTTTTTCTCTTAATAGAAAATTGGAGGCAAAAGTTCAAAATATGCAGGAAAACAAGCAAGGAGAATGAAACACTGAAAACCAGAAATATTTGAAATTAAGGATATCTCAATTTATAGTCAACCAAATTTTAAAAACGGACAGCAGACCATCATTAACAGAAAGGACCCTGGGAAGAATGGATTTCAGGGATGGAAGCCCACTCCTCAGACCTCAAGTGTAATTTTTAAATGCCAATTCTTATTATTTTTTTTTTTTTACTTCAGCTTGGGCTTAATTTTTGCTCTCAGGCAACTAAAAGCACAACAGTGTGGTGTTAAAAAGGTCTGAGACACTTACAGAATCGTAATAGAAACCAGTGCTGTGGTCAAAATACAATCCCGTGTTCTCGTCGTAGGTAAAGCCAGTCTGGGACACAGCAGCTTCTGCTGCAGCTCTCAAGCTGTCGGCTATTGAGGACCCTTCCAAGGCCGTGCCCTCTGCTGCTAATGCGGACGCACTCTCCTGGGGAGAGAGAACCACTCCAGATGACACACAACTGTCGCTAAACTACAAATTTGTCGCTGGCAAATCTAAAGCGCTGTTTGTTTCCAGTTTGTAATGGGAACACATGGCCATTTAAAAAAATATATTTAAGTGTTCTCCAATTTAACCTTGACTCTGAATTTTTCTTTTAGTTTTGTTTTGCAAGGCTGGGGATAAGACAGAGTCTAGCACATTCTAGGCCAGCGCTGTACCATGTACTTTGAAGTGGCATTTATCCCCAGGGTCTTGTCTGAATTTTAAAGACACTAAAGTAAGATGATAACAATTATTCAAAGTTAAATGTTTCATAACACAGGGACACACAGACTATGAAATACTCTCTAAAACAATGATCTAATTTGACACAGTTCATGCCAAATTCAGAACCAGTATGGGCAATATAGTGAGACCCCATGTCAAAATAACAAACACTTCACATATAAACATGTAAAACACATTTCTGTTTTGTGTCCAAGGTCCTTTAAAGCCTTACTAGAATGTGTGAATGTGGACATGAGTGCCACCGCAGGCAAATGGAGGTCAGGAAAACACATGTGGACTTGATTCTCTCCTTCAGCCGGTAAGGAGGTTCCAGGGTTAGGAACTGACTCAGGCTGCCAGGCTTGTATAACAAGCACCTTAACCTCCTGGGTCATCTCACTGAGCGCCAGATTCATGGACTGAGTTCAAATAGACTGATAAACAGTCCTTTAGTTGATGTCATCATAAACAGAAAAACAATCACTATAAACACGTCCCAGTTCTGTTTTTTTTTTAGCAACCATAGCTGAATGTATTGATACAAACCAATACACAGGAGGCTGAGGCAAGACAACTTGAGCTCAGGGATTCAAGGCCAACCTGAGCAACAACAACAACAAAAACTGTATTTCAAAAGACAAAACAAAACTGATACTCTGCATAATCATATATAAGACTGTATATAACTCCTGTGTGCACTGTTGTGGGTCAAGGAATCCCATCTTTCTCTACCATGGCAATTTAACGATAAATCCCTGGGCCTCGGGTGTCATGGTTAGCCTTTGGTTACCTGTGAATCAGAGGTGAAAGGATCCTCCTGTCCATGTTTAACACATTCTGCTCCATCGATACCAGCATGACTACCACTGTCTATTTGTGACTCGTCTTTAGTAGAAGCTTGAGCATACTGACTCTGCTGTGCAGTCAGATCCGTCTCTTTACTGGGAAGACTATCATCATAATATGTCTGATAATAATAATCTGTAGCAAAAAGAAAGGAAGGAAGGAAGGAAGGAAGGAAGGAAGGAAGGAAGGAAGAAGTGTATGGAAGAAGTCTCATTGTTAATTGTAAACCCAGAGTAGCAAACACAAAACAGCACCCATTAAATCTGGCCACAAGGCCAAGACCAGATTAAAAAAAAAAAAAAAAGAAAGAAAATGAAGGGAGTAGGAGTGTAGAAGAAATTTTCCTAGTATTGGAGAGCCTAAGGCAGGAAGCTAATACAAATAAAGCCAACTTTGGGATATCCAGAAAGTTCCAGGCTAGCTAAAAAGAGATAAAGAGGTGGCCAGTAGGCTGGGATTAAAGGCATGTACTACCAACGTCCAGCCTTTTTGTCTTATTTTTAAAGAGACACTACTTCAGCAGACCTTGGATGTTCCGTGGGGCCTAGTGTATACCCACCAGACACTAAATACCTGAAATTGACCAAGGAGCATGGTTCTCTGTCTGTACTTCTACATCAGACTTCTTCCTATCTTCATATCTCCCACAATGGAGTATTTTACTGAGTTCTTCTACCTGAAAGGAGACAAAGCTTTAGGAAAAATAGAGCATAAAGCAGTCCAATAATACACATAGCACTCTGTCATTCTCATGACATTGTAAGGCATTTTTCTTGGTAGAACTTTTAGACCTGTGCAGAAAACAGCCAGTTCCTTTTCAGAAACCCTACAACTTATTCACAAGTTAAGGTTTGACTTTTGGCTTTCCTTATTTCCTCTACCCCTCTTCTCCTTCCTTTTTAACACAGATTTCACTATTTTGCACAGCTGGCTGCTAATGAACTCGAAGGCTCAAATAATCCTTTTGCTTCAGCCTCCCAGATAAGACTAAGTGCATGCCACTTCGACCCACTCAGGGATGTTCTCATAATCATAGCAAAACACCCAAATCACAGCTGGTCATGGTAGTGCATGTCTTTCAATCCAGCAGGTGGACCGATGAGTTCAAAGCCAGCCAAGTCTACACTGCTGTGAGACCCTGTCTTTACAAAAAACATTTAATTCACTTCTCCAAAACCCTAGGAATGAAGCTCAGTGGTGGACACTTGCCCAGTGTCATGAGGCCTTAGGCTCAGTTTCCAGCACCATATAAAGAAAAGTCCAACTACAGTTCAACTATGGCAAGTTAGCACAAACAAAAACAACACAAAGATTTATTCTCATAGTCTCTAAAGCCAATAGCTCTCACTTTAAAATTACATTTCCATCTGAACTGAATTCTACCACTCAGTGACTCCAAGTTACTTACTTAAACACAGCAATGCTATCTGTATGCTGTATGTACTTTTTCCTCTTTGTTCCTATCACTAAATAACTACAGCAGAATGAACCAGACACCACCACAGAAGTGGCATCATTCCTTTGTGTGCTTTGTGTACTCAAGCACCACTGAAAGATGCTGTGCAGGCCAGGACAACAGTGTGGACATGCCCGTGAGTGGAAAAGAACCGCCTCAATCTGTGTTTTATGCAAGAAACCAATGAAAAGGCTTCTAAATATTTAATGGTGAGTAAGCTTAAATACAGAAAAGGCCGTGGGAGTAGTTACATTCAGGTTTACTTAGGCACTTTATGAATTGTGAGATCTGCTCTTATTACCAGGAATGGAACCAGGCTGAGGGAAACAAATTAGTGAAATCTATTCAGGAGGCACTGGCTCTCAGATTCATCCCTCAGTCATTCACTTCTTACCTGAAGCAGAGTGTCTTGCCCTGGTGCTGACTGCCACCAGCACTTCCATGAACTGGAATACTTAGTATCTACCATATTTATACTGGAACTTGGAGTAACATCTTAATTTATACAACTTCCTTATAGACTAGTTTTCCTGATGTCAATGATACACATGAAATATCTTAAGAGACAAAGTAACTTGTAAAAGGCTTGTTGAGCCCAAATGGATGACAGATAACCACATTCAACCCTCCTAGTAGGGAATACTGACTAGAAAATAGTTGTAATTATCAGCAAGATGCTAGCCAGGTGTTGGTGGCTTTAATCACAGCACTTGGGAGGCAGAAACAGGTGGATCTCTGTGAGTTCGAGGCCAGCCTGGTCTACAGAGCGAGTTCCAGGACAGGCTCCAAAGATAGACAGAGAAATCCTGTCTTAAGAAACCAAAAAAACAAACAAACAAAAAAAAAAACAGCAAGATGCAAGACTTCCTCTACTTTGAGTTTGTTATTATTATTATTATTATTATTATTATTATTATTATTATTTAACTGGCAGAGGGAGGTGTTGGGAATCCAACCATCAGGGCCTTCTGCTTATAAGCACTCTACCACTGACACTGTCTCTCTCTCTCCTCTCTTTCTACACTGCCCAAACTAGCCTAAAATTTCTAGGCCAGAAATGTAACTCTAAACAACAGGTAGATAAGTCATTTCAACCCAGCAGATATTTCTGAGCTCATTTAAGAATAGGATTATTCTCAGGGACTGGAGAGACAGAAATGGCTTAATGGTTAAGAGAACTTGCTGTGCAACCTCCAAGGACCAGAGTTTGGATCCCAGCACCCACAGAACAAGCTGGCTTGGTTTCCAGCACATCTGTAACCCCAAAACTGTGGGTGATAGAACCAAGAGGATCCCTGAGCAGTTCGGGCTCCCAGACTAAGGAAAAAAAAAAAAAAAAAAAAGTCAGGTCCTGGTGAAGGAAGAGACCCTGTCTCAAAGGAATAAGGAAGATAATGGACACCTGATGTCTCCCTCTGGCCTGTGTGCACATAGGAGTATACCAAACACAAACACACACACACACACACACACACACACACACACACACACACACACACGCAAGATTAGTATGGCAAAGTTTGATGACATTTCAGTATCTAGCCTGGAGATGTAGTTTTATTAAACATTAAATTATGGAGAAAACATTAAGTTGAAATTAAGTACCTAGAAATAACTTATTAGGATAATATGCAACTATTCAATAGTCAAACTAAAAATGAATTATTTAAAGCACCAATGTCAAGTATTTATCCTTATTACATATTATGAAAATAAAACATACTCCTAGTATCTGTACAAAAGACAGGTTTACCTCTCTACAAGTGAACCCAATAGGATAACTCTGATCACCCTACACATGGAGTATGATCAATGGTGTGTAAAACTAAATTGTGTTCTTGCTTTTAGCCTTCTCTGCTGCATGCTATTTTCAACCAGATCTTATAAGCAACTGGGGTACTCAAGATACGAGTCGGGATTCTAAGTTCAGCCTTAAGCAAACTCAAAGGGCGGGGTGGGTGCTGTTTCGCGCCTGAAAACTCTTGTGTCAGCCTCGGAGGATGACACAAGATGGCCAAGCGTTTGAGTCAGTCTTGATCAACATTCTGAGATCTAAGCCAGGCTGACTACAGAGTGAGATTCTGGGGTGAAAATCCCAAATCGGGATGAAATAGAGACCAAATGCAAGCCCACAATTCCAGCACTTGGAAAGTGGAGGCAGGTTTAAAAGTTGAACTTCAAGGTCACCCTCCTTTACACCGCGAGTTCAAGGCCCAGGTGAGCCTTCGTCTCCACCAAAACAACTCAAACATGACCCAGGAAAAAAATAAAAAATAAACGCGCTCATCGCCACTGGGTCAGGAAATCAAGACTCTGTAGCCCATGCTGGAGTTCATTCACGCCTGCCCCCAGACAGTCGTCCAAACCAATTGGCTTGCACTGTTCAGCTGGCTCCAAAGGTATTCGGGGTTGTTAACAGCTCTAGGCTTCATTGATTTCAAAGACTCCATAGAGAAGCTCTGGCTCCGGCCAGGGAGGCACTGGCGGGGCTCGGGGCTGAGGCGGACCGCGCACCTGCGTGCGGAGTTCCTGATTATTGCTCTCGGCGC